AAATCAAGGACAATTTATGCTATACGTTATATTATAACGTTACGCCAGATTTTAATTAATTATCCGAATAATTTTGAAAAATTTATATTTTTTTTTGTACCACAATTTGAATTTACTAAAATTTAATGCGCGTAATATTATTTTATAAAAAAGAAAAAATAGATAAAAAAAGAATATTATGCACAGAATCTTGTGCGAATTTGAAAGAATATTTTACACTTTATTTTTATGTACAAATGAATGAATTATATAACACAGTAGGGAATAGGACATTATATATATAATCTTTGTCACATGATTATGCTTCATCGGTTTTCAATAACGTCTAGCTGTCAATATATACTTACCTTTTATACGTGACATGTAACGATGTCTCGATGACAGAGATAGGGACAAGTTATTTCTGATATAAATGGACATAGTATCGATAACTTAATACAGAATCTATTAATAATATCGACTTGCGTCTGCAATAAATTATAACAGCAGTAAATTTGTAAAACTTTATGCAGATAATAATAAATAAAATGATGTTAGATGTTTTTATTTCAAATAGAAATAATAATGTTTTGATTAAAGGAGATTAACTTTTACAATTTTATTATGTATAAAATTATATTAATAGTATTTTTAATATATAGCGCAGTATATTTTATATGCCTTGATTGGAATAAATTTTACGATTCATTATTACTGATTTCACAAGCACTATCAGATTTTACGATCAGTGTTTGTCATCTTTTATGCTTATTGATCGTTAAAATATGTCATATGTGCGACAATGTGCGACACCTTTTCCAGTTGATTTTTTAAATGTTGAATTTTCGTGATTTATCTCTGACGATCAACTCTTCGAGATTTGTGGCACAAAATTAATAAATAGTATATTATATTTCAAATTCTATTGAAGCATTGGTTTTCTTTTTAAAAGCTATTGTTAACAATACAATTAATTAGTCTTTCAAGAGCGAGTTTCTCTTCAAAAAGCGAGTTAAAGCGATGTTGCACTTCTGATTACGCTGGAGTATACTTTAAGTTGAAGAAACGATACTTCTCTCGAGTGCGATACTTCTCTCGATTGCGCTTGCTTTCAAAGCGAAAATTAAATCGCAATCATAGTTGCATTTAATTGTTTAAGCTAGGTTTTTTTTTCATTGATGTATTTATGTTAGAGATGATGAAATTTAATTCGAAAAATGCGCAAGTTATTGTCGAGCAATTTTACGAGGAGTGATAGTGTTATCAACTCTATACGCTTTGCCGCGATACTGACACTGGTTTCTGCTGAACTGCTTCACGTCATTTTATTTTATGAAGCGCAGTAAAGTCCCATGTACACAATTGATTAGTTTACCAAGAGCTTTAATTGGTTGGGATTAACGCGAGAACTAACCACAGCAAATGCCTCTGTGAAAACGACAACGTTCAAAATAAAAAAAGTATTCTTCAACGAACAATTTTAATTCGATTCTTTGTTATCTTTTTATTAAGCTTATAAATAATATTTGTTTGTATTAGAACGATAACAAAAAATAGAACGTCAAAATAAACGTCAAAGTACAATTAGGAGAAAGACTTTAGATGTATATCAGATATCAAGTTCAAATTATTTATTATATTCAGGCAATTATTATATTTTTCATCGTCAAATATATTGCGAATATTCAACATTTATTTAAATTTTAGCAAATTGTCATTGGATGTATGATATATTTTTTTTAATTTATTCAAAGTAATTATAGTAAAGTAAGTATAATATAAAGATTATAATCATAAGATTTTTACATCTTAAGCTGTAGTAAATTAGATTTTATGAATTAAATTAGATCTTTAGAAAAAAATTAATATTATGCTTAATTGAGATTAAATATTTTTGCGTATCATATTAGTATCAATTTAATAGACACATTATGATGTTATAGTGTAAATAAAGCTTTTATATTATATACAACTTAATATGTATATATAAAAATAAAATTACAAAGAATAAGTAAAAATTAAAAAGTTTTAATTTTGAATATAAAAATTGCTATTTATATAGAAAAAAATGTAAAACAAAAGATTTAGAAAGGACAATAAATATTATTATTAAAAATTATTTATTATTATTATTATTATTATTATTATTTATTATTAAAAAAAGAAACTGTCCATATTGATCACTTAAATTTTTTTCTTTTTTTGATTATCTAAAATAAACTTGAATATTATAATATTGGAGTCTGTATTTAATATTCGATTTGGAGCCCGAGATCAGATCATATGGATCATTACTTATAATTTTCTTATTTACATAATATATAAGCATAAATTAAGTTTATTTTTTATTTTCATAAAATGTAGTAATGTATTCAAAAGACAATATTTTAAAATTAATAGACTTTCGAATTAATTAATATCCAAGATTCATTTGTTGATAATTTACATAATTTTGAATTAGAATTAAAAGATATAAAACAGTAACTAAATTGAATAAAATTATTTATAAATAAAATATTTTTTACGATTAATTAAACTTAAGAGTTGATAACACTATAGCGTATAGAGTTGATAACACTATCACTCCTCGTAGAATTGCTCGACAATAACTTTTATTATTATAATTATTCGGAATTGATATTTTTATCCTACTGTTTAAATTGTTATGATAATTATTTGAATGTATAATTCTTTAAAAGTTTTACTTTCTGTCTTGCACGGTACTGTTTCGTAATCTCTTTTGTAACTCTTGAGACGCTATTTTTCAGCACGGAGCAATCGTGTTAAAACATTTCTCCGATTACACTTTGACGCTTTCGTTAATTGTTTGATCAGCTTCTCGCGAACGATGGGCGATGACGCAGACTTTTAGTATTTCTCATCATCCTATTTCAATCGCACGTTTATTCGCACACTGAATAAAGGCTTGATTAATTTGCATAATTATTTATGTGATATATTTCATTCACTATTCATCGTTGCGTGAAACGAATCGAGAATTGGTCTGTGATTTAATTATGCATGGACAAACCGCTCATTTTTAATCAATCGTAATAATCGTTTCGTGTAATCGGCGGTACTGCGCTTTAATAGACCCCCTAAGTAAAAATTGCAATTTTATCGTCACTCGCTTTATCGGGGTTTACAAATTACTTGATCAAACCGCCGTCGAGCATAAATCCACAACGTGCAGCCGTGGAGATAAACTATGGAAGATTACAGTACGCCTCTAATTACGCCGGTGCCGCATAGTTCATTAAATCGGCAAATCGATGACGTCACTGGTACGCCGTATTTCTCTCTATTATCTCTATTATCTCGGAAAAAATATACGACATATATATAATATGTCTCTTTTTCTTTGTGCTGAGATCGGACTTCGTTGCGAACAATTCTGCACGGATTTAATGACGTAGTCATTTATTCTTTTGTATAGAATACATAAGCATTATAGAGAATACAAAACGTATTTTTCCAATCTTTTTCGTTTACGAAGTTACGAAGTTTTTCATTAGTTCTAGATGGAGGAACAGTGAAACATTCTTAATAAGCTTGCCTCTAATGTAAAGTCAAGACATTTAAATATGAAAAACAATTTTATGGCACTTTTACTTTTATATATCTCGTATATGAAAAATGCCTTTTAAAGGTATCCTATCACAATCAAGTTAATATTACATAATGTCGAAAGCAACTTGATGTTATCGTTCGAATATCATTTTCTCGCTTATCATAAAATTAATCATATTGATTTTATATAATGATAATGCTAAACATGCTATCTCAATATTGGCTTCAAATAGCGATTTCATGTAGAAATCAAAAAATAAGAAAAGTAGAAAAGAAAACAATCTCTGAAAAAAAGACTTACGGCACTGATGATACACAGCACGTGCTGTTACGCATTTCAGAGAGAGAGAGAGAGAGAGAGAGACCGTGCGTATGTACACGACTTAAAGAGATCCCACCGCGATATATAAATGTCGCGCGATATATCCGCTGAATGTTGTTCTCAAACGATTTGCTGGCGTCACGAGTTCTGTAGTCGACATTCTCATTGCACCCGACAACGAGGAAGAAGTCGTGCGAATGTCGTGAAAGACGTTCGATCGTCGCATCAGTCAGATCAGTCGGATCAGTTGTATATCGGACGACCACGCGAAATTTGGAAAAGATGCTGCGGCTCACCACTCTGTCGAGGGTCCGTTTCTCACGGTATATATAATCCGATAATCCCGAATGATCCCCCCGCCGGTTTCCTCCAGGGAGAAATTTAATCTCTATCTGTCCCTATCCGTGGGATTGAGACTGACTACAGCGGTGAGTTGGGACTTTCGTTACTGAGGACACGCGCGAAATAAATTCTATATCTAATTAACAACGACTTGTTTTCGCGTATAGCCGCAGTTTCGAAAATTGAACTCTGAATTGTACCATTTTCAATCGTCTTCAGTTCTTTGATTGTATTATAATTAATCTAGTGAGAAAAAAATATGATTACACTCTAAAATAATTTAAAATAAATTATTATTATGTAAATAAGCATTGGTTTTTTTTTTTTTTACGCTAATGCTAATTGTTTTAAAGCTCACATACATTTCTTCATGAATAACAAGCTGCGTTTTTAAACTATAAATTGCATTGTTTAAACAAACTCTATAATTTTCAGTTATTATGGAATATATGTTCATCCAATTGTTTATCAATTAAATTACGTTATGTATTTTATTTTTAATTTTCAAAAAGCTATTGATTATATTTCTCTTTTTTTGATTATTTTAAATTTATTTATAAAACATTAATATATTTATTTTAACCAATTAGGTATATTATATCTTCCTAAAATGACAAGCTTTTCTTTAATAAATATTTAATTATATTAAATTCATACGAGTTGTTATATCGATGATAAAATTATTTTCGATGATCAAAAATGCAGACAAATGTTAAAATTAGGTGATTCTACATGCGCGTTTTACTCACAGCAAATGAAGGAAGTTTTCGATTTTCATGCTGAATAGACAACTTGAGGAGAATGCCATGCGGAAGGCCAAAGACGAACGTGTTAAAATCACGACGGCATTCTTCCGCGACAGTTTTGACGAAGAAGATGACGAGGAAGAAGAAGACAAAACTTCGGAAGGGATAACGAAAGAATCGGAGAAAATTCTCTCGCAAACATCCTCGTCATCTAACGGTGATTCAACAAAAATCAGCATCACAAACGTAGAAGTTTCGTCAAATTTGATCACGCCTAATCCTGAACTTGCGGTTTCCGCTTTACACTTAGATCGAACTCTTAAACAGTTGCAAACTTCGTCCGAAAATTCCAGTTCGTCGAACAACGTGAACGATGGGCACATAATATCGGATTATTGCGATAGGAAAAAAGAATCTAACAGAGACAGCGATGTGATTTCGAAAGCCAGAACGCAAAGACTGGCGGCGCCGGTGTCGGATTCCGATGATGTCTTCTCCGTGTCCAAGCACGAAGATGTCGTCGCAAGGGAGTCATCTGCGGGATTTCAATCTTCAATCGAGGACCACCCGATGCGTGCCAATAAAGCAATTACGGACAGATCGACAAATTCTCAATTGACGAGCAATCTTTTACAAGTCCCTCCAGAGACATCAAGATCCAGCGAACACTTTTATTTTCCATCGTTATTATTACGTTCGGCAAGTGCCAGAGAACACTCAGACATCGGGAAGATACACAATACGGAATCACCTTCGGTGATGGTCACTCGAGACGGTGTCGATGAGAAATCTAGCATAGGCGGTGGACGCAGGTCGACATTGCCGATGACGAGCTCCGATTTGAATCAGTCCACTTTGAAAAGTTCCACGGAGATCAACCAGAGATCGCCGACCTTCGAGGACATCCTGGCCGGCACCAGCGTGAATCCAATTCGGAAGTTCAGCATAGCGAACGCGGCCATTTGCTCGAGTCTGGCTCCGAGCTTGCTCGGAGCCATCCCCGGTGTGCCGAATTCCCTCTTACCGAACGGAGACTACAAAGACGGCAATCTGCAGCGAAGTGCCACCTTGTCGAATCTGTCAACCACCTCTAGCGCCATCAGCGACAATACTTCCATCGGTAGAACGCGTCGCGGATTGAGATCGTTTCTTCGTCTCCACATACCCGAGCCACATGCCGCGATCTGGCACGACACTGACGAGGACTACCATCATCACCTGCATCATCAGCATGATCATCACCACCACCACCATCATCATCATCACGTGTTCTCGCACATTCACGTACCTACCATCACCTTCACGGCGCCGGCCGGCGACGGCACCGGTCGGCACAAGTTTAACTTCGCCATCCGAAGGCACTCGCAGGCGGTTAGTGTGAAGCGCGAAAGATGCACGACACTTTTTCGCTTTCTTGATATTTTTAGCGTTTCTGTATTTTCTTCTTTATTAACATGCATCGAGAGTGGTCAGAATCTGACCACAAAGCAAGTCTTTTTTAGTCAAGTGAAACACACTTCCGAGTTGGAAGAAACTAAGTAGCACAATGTAGAATATTAACAAATAGTGTTCGGAGCAAGACTAATATAGATTTATGATTTGCAAAACTCATTTTTAAATAATAGAATTGTGGATCTATTCTATTCACGGCCTGGATCCTTTCAATAATTAACACAATTCTTAGCAATTAACTCTTATTAAAGGAATAACGCGAGATCAGATTGTATTGTTGATAAATCAAATAAGTGAGAGTTAAAACTTTTTCGTCATTATATCGTCAAGCATAATAAAGTTAAGTATGACGATGGAATCACATGTTAGATGTCAGCGAAATATTGACATGTCTTTATAACAGATTTGCTTAATTCGTATATTAGCACACTTTGATTAAAATAACTTCGTATTAATAATGTACTTACCTAAGATCGAACCGAGTCAAAACTATTTAATGACGACACACTTGCCACGGATAATAGTTAATTGTTGCAATAACAGGCCGCCGAAGAATGTCAATGATAAAAGCATCGGTGCAGCTCGAGTACTTATCTTATCAAAATTGCATTTATAACTGACAAATAAAAACTAACGTATGAAGAAATGGAGTGTCATGGCCAGGTAATCTAGTAATTATCTCAGGCAATAGTTGTCTACTATCTTCCGTTGAATTGATCTTACGAAATTCTTCAATTAAAGAAAGATTGTTGAAGGAAAGATTAGAAATTTGAACATTATATGTAAGTTATCACTTTAATCTCGTTACTTTCTAAAATTATTTGTTAAACTTCGAGATAGATATTCGAAAAGATTCAGAAGTAGATTTTATTATAGAAATTTTCTATAATTCACGATTACTGTTTACGATTTTGAAACTAAATTAACTACTATTTTAATTAAATTGATTACTAAATAATAGATTAAACTATTCATTCAATTGATAATTTTTGGCAATTTATGATAAACGATCGGCAAATGATTTTAATAAATCTGAGAATCTAATCATCTAATAATATCTGCAATATTTATCAATTCTCCGTGTCGGAAAATTTTGGAGGCAATTACATAACACGTCAGATGCCACGTGCGTACGCACATAATGGAATCTTGCCCGACTCGGTTCTGTCATCGATCTTGATGGCTAATGCCCGCGCTATATTCGCCAACACCCGCGAAATGACACTATCTTCACTATGCGCAAGGTGCGCATCAGTATCATCCTCCACGTGTATAACAAGCCATTCCACTGCCAGAGATTTCAGCATAGTGACAAAATCGGCCGCATGAAATAGATCTGACCTAATGTAATCTTTAAATGCGTGGATATAAATGTGTGCACGTTTGCACGCCCGCAACGTCGGATTTTTATTCAGTAGAGCTCGAGCCGTAGTAGTAAACGACGAACAGTGCCGTAATTCCTGCAAGAGATTCTAGGTATCGAGAAGAAATTTTTTTTTTTTCCTTGGAATAATTTCGATTCGAAAATCGATTCGCGGAAGCAGCGACATTTCAAAATTTTGAAATTTGAAACGCGTTTCAGAATTTGAATTTGTCTTTTCCAGCAAATCGCTCATTCATTTATTATCTACAATCGAGCATTTATTTATTTTTAAAATAAAATATGAACTATTAGTAGCGTTATTAAAAATTTGATTCGATACTTTAATAGCTTATAATTTGTTATTTGTTGTAACCGAGTATTTATTATTACTACCGTTTGTTATACGCGAGGAAATTAGGGGACTTTTGCATCGAAGGATTATTAGTGTAATCCAGTCATGGTGTATTTAGCATTATTCTCTTAAATGCCACGTCAATTTACGCGCGTTAGGTTGCGTAGATTTTATCGATAATGTACGTCGGCGAAATGTCATTAATTGCCGCTATTAATCTTCTAAAAAAAAAGCACGCATGATATTCGCTACAGAATTGTATTCTTATTTCATTTTGTTTAATAGTATTTTCGATTGTAATAACATTTAAAGTGTTGTAATCTTTAATATTATACATAAGTTCCGTAACGTAAAACTCGGTGCATTACAGCAAAATCAAATTCTACCGTAAGTATATCATTGTATCCGCGACATTTTTGTCACTAATTAGTTTGTTAGGCTGGGCATGAAATAATAACGCGAGTGCTGAATAAAGAAAGATAAGAAGAAAAGCGAACAAAATGTTTCAAAAATTAAATGATGAGGAAGGTGAATGGAACATGAAAAAAAAAAGGATGAAAAAATATTTAACATATAATTAGGAAACAATAAATGCTAAAATCGAATACCCGAAGCAAAAATACTAATCTCCGATATCTCGCTTTGCATACTACAATTAACATTGCTAATTTTTTTTATCGCTCGACTGCTTTCGCCATACACGCGATCGTCCCTTATCATCCACGTGTGTCGCTCGCTATCGCTGACCCCGAATTCCAGTTTGTAAGATTGAAAAGCGCAAAGCGCAAAGCGTTTCCCATCTTTCCCGCTGCGAATGGAGGACGCGCGCTCCAGTTGCAGTTGCAAGCTAAATTGAAGCGATTATAATTAATACGCAATGTACAGAATATTTTCACGCACGCTCACTGCTGCGTCGTGTGAAAAAAACGAAACGTCATAAATCCAATATCTCTCGAGAGCAGGGAAAAAAAGACTCGACTAACGATGATCTCTAATTGAGAGTCCAAGCAAGATCCTTTCGTTTTAGCCTGGAGATGAAATTGGACGTCTTACAGACACGAGCTTTAAAAGGGAAAACCGAGAAGTGTGAGTCAGAATTCCGGAGATCTTAGGGAGTGGATTTTCCTGGTGTATTTACGGTTCTCTCGAGATTAATACTTGTGCCACAGAGTGCGAGACTGCCCTCCAATGGCGATTTAAAGTCGACTCCTCGACTGCTCGATAACTCGAAAGCTTACCTCTGCGATGTATCATGGTTTAATTACACCATTTATTTCGAATGTATTAATGTATTTGAGCGTAATTGTATTATTTAAGACTCTAACAGCCTCTAGTACAGAATTGAGATTCCTTTTTAATGAGCGAAGAGTTTCGATGGATAAAGAGATTCAAGTTTTATTACATCTGCTTTAGCAATTACAACAATGCCAAGTAAAGAAATCGAGTGTTGCAATTTGCTATTCGCATAGATGTGATTTTTTTTTTTTCTGCGATTGCGATTTATCTAATCTTACTCGTGAGTTTTTGTTTTAATAACTATTAATAACAGCGACAAAAATCGTACACGACCGATTGAAGTCTAATGATAAATTCTCTTGACTCTTTCACAGACATTGCATCGGACTGACTCGATGGTATCGCTTTGTTACCGATCACTCGCGAGCTATATCACAGATGATAATCTCGCCGGACTGCAGAGCTTTCTTGAGAACAAGCGAGTGCAGGTCGACGACAGAGATGAGGTGAGCATGGATCACACGAAAATGTGTCTGAAGGAGATCATTCGATTATTTTCACGATGAAAAGTTCCAAACTGAAATACGAATCAAAAATCAATATAAATAGAAATAGAGATAAAAGATCTCGGCGGGCAGAAAATTACACAGAGAAACAATAATAATATAAATTGTGCTGGATAATCGATTTAAATCGCGGATATCAAAAATAAGCCACGTAAAGGAAAAAGATTTTTTTTATTTTTGTGGTGGATGACATTTATCTTGAGTTTATATAAATTCGAAAAATAAAGAAGAGATTATTAGGCGTCTAAGATCCTACGTGCCGAGATTTTTCCGTATTTCTTTTTGTTTTGCAAATTTTTTTGTTTCTCGTTTGTTGACTCTTTTTTGATAAATTAATTTCTTTTACAACAGAACGGTAGCACCGCCCTCATCCTTGCAGCAATTAAAGGAAAAATACACTTTGTCCGTGAACTCATTAATCATGGAGCGGATGTTAATGCCGAAGACGCGGTTAGTATTCGTTGAGATCGTTTGATTGCATATAACAAATATAAGTTGCGATATACATGTACATTTCTGCATGATTTTCTGCAGGATAACTGGACAGCATTGTTGTGCACAGCAAAGGAAGGCCACACGGAGATTTGTCTCGAGTTGTTGGAACATGGCGCCGATTTGGAGCACCGAGACTTGGTCAGAAAAAGTTGCATACTTTACCATTCTGGCATAATGCCATTAATGTAAATTTGAAAACTCGAGTTTGCAAAAACTGTGCTTTTGTATCATCCAAAAGGTCTTGCGTTATCTTTTCTTCTTCATTATTAAAAGTTATTTCCTCTTAATGTACGGCATTGCAATTTTTACACAATCTAATAATATGTTTTAATAATATTCTATACTTAATTATTATTATATACATTTCTTTGTTAACTAATTTATTTTTATTTTTAATAAAGAAGTATATAACGTTTAATGGGGAAAAATTTACCCAAGTGTATAAGTGCTTTATGTAGCTTTATGTAAAAATTAGCATTTCTGTAGATAAAAAAATTGAAGGATTAAAAGTTATTTTATTGTAGGGTGGATGGACGGCGCTCATGTGGGCGACGTACAAGGGCAAATCAGCGACGGTGACGATGCTGCTGGGGCGCGGGGCTGACGTCAACGCGCACGGAAATTTTCATATTTCCTCGTTATTATGGGCCGCTGGTAGGGGTTATCCTGATATAGTCAAAGATCTCGTTGCTCATGGGGCGAAGGTCAATGTCGGTGACAAGGTAATCATTGGTAGGCGTATCGCAAATTAATGATCATATCTTCAGTCCTGAAATATTCACACTCGTTTGTTTAGTATGGCACAACAGCACTTGTTTGGGCATCGCGCAAGGGAAATGTAGAGATCGTTGATATCCTTCTCAAAGCTGGAGCCAATGTCGATACAGCAGGCATGGTAAGATAAAAAAAACCTTTGAAAAAAGACGTGGACAATTTGATTCCAAATTGATTAAAAATTTATTAAAATATATAATAATAATAGAATGTCAAACATAATTATAGTTTAATAAAAAAATTCTCGAATAAGATTAATCACATTTTACGCTGAATACGAATCCAATTTCCACATGGTTTCATCACAGTTTTAAGAAATTTACAATTGAAATTGTAAAAAAGAATTACTTTTATTTTATCATATTATAATTACAATATGTACTGTAATTGCAATAATGTGCTGTATCATAACCGATACAAAAAATTCCTTTTGAAAGCTGAAAGTCATTACAACATACTTAATTTTGATTGTAATAAGATTTCAATATCACGTCACATATTATAATATCACCAAATACGTGAAAATAATTCTTTTTGCAACTTTAACTGCAAATTTCTCGAAATGACTTGATGAAACAATTTGAAAATCGGATTCGTATTTAGCATTCAAAAAACTGCAGGAAAAATCTGATTAATCTCATTCGAGAAAAGATCATTTTTTTAAAACAGTGTTTTACATATATTCTTGTGTAATATTCCTTTTTCTTTTAGCACAAAATATATATCTATTGCAAATAGAATTTTATATTATAAAAAATATTTTATAACTTTTCAAATTATAATATTAGATATTAAAATAACTTTTTATATTTATATGTGCTCTTTATGATTTTTTTTGTAGTATTCATGGACTGCTCTACTCGTGGCAACTCTTGGTAACCATGTAGAAGTCGTATTACTACTACTGGAGCATAAACCTAATGTGAACGCTCTAGATAAAGACGGTTGCACCGCCTTAGCGATTGCCTGTCGTGAAGGTCATCACGAAATAGCGAATGCTCTTTTAAATGCCGGTGCTTACGTTAATATTCAGGATCGAGCCGGCGACACGAATTTAATACATGCAGTTAAAGGGGGTCATCGAGGTGTGGTGGAATCATTATTGAAGAAATATGCAGACGTCGATATCGCTGGAAAGGTATGACTTGATCTATTCCTTTTCATACCCGCGTATCTCCCTCGAAGATCGACTTGAACAAAAATTTATTTTTTCACTGAATATTACGGTTTCCCAATATCAATCAATATTGATCGTTTCCGTAAGCCAGATTTGCGCGCGTCAAGTTTCACATGGTGTAATATTCAAAATTTGTTAAAGTAATTAGCGATTCGACTCGGATGTGATGGATCCTTTAATAAAAGACAGTCTCGGATATATGTGGTAAACCACTTCGAGCTAGGTTCGTGCGTGACACCCCTGCGGTTTGCCTTTGAAGCTTTTCAATCGAACTAACCATCCCATATCCGTATATATTTTAGGATAAAAAAACCGCAACTTACATAGCCGTAGAGAAAGGCAATATACCGATACTCAAATTATTACTAAACGCTAACCCAGACCTGGAGATTGCCACGAAAGACGGCGACACGCCTTTATTACGGGCGGTGAGGTCGCGTAACGCCGAAATCGTGCAATTGCTTTTAGACAAGAAAGCCAAGGTCTCGGCTACGGACAAGAAGGGCGACACTGTACTGCACATAGCGATGCGCGCGCGATCGAAAGCGATCGTCGAGATACTACTGAGGAATCCAAAGAATAGCCAGTTATTGTACCGTCCGAATAGACAAGGCGAGACCCCCTACAACATCGACGTCAATCATCCCAAGACAATTCTTGGACAGATATTTGGTGCTCGTAAGTTAATTAGAAACATGCCATTATTGGCATCATATTATTATTACTGATGACTTAACTTAGGATACGTGAGAAAGACACGCTTAATGTCTTAATATAGTGTCTTGTAGAATAATTTGATAATCGTTACAGGACGTTTAAATACTAACGAGGATAACGAGAATATGCTTGGTTACGATTTGTATAGTAGTGCGCTAGCAGACATTCTCAGTGAACCGTCACTTTCTACGCCAATTACTGTCGGTCTTTATGCAAAATGGGGTTCCGGAAAATCATTTTTACTGAACAAATTGAGAGGTACCATCAAATAACATAGTTATTACATTGCTTGCATTTGATAATTCTACAAAAACTCCTAAAAAATTTTTTTACGAACTGATGATTTTTTTTATAAATTTGAGGTAATCTCTTTTTAAAGAAATATAAAAAAATTATTAATTAAGTACAAAAAAATTACATATTAATTTAAATTAAAATAAAATATTTTATTAATAGACTAAACTTTTATGACCCGGAAGATGTGTGATTTTTCTAAAATGTCAAATACATCCATATTAATTTGAATTGATAAGAAAGTACTAACGACGTATCTTTACAGAGGAAATGAAGAATTTTGCACGACAGTGGATTGATCCAGTATTCCAATTCTCTTCTTTACTCTTTTTAGTAATAGCTCATATATCTTTACTTGTGGGCGTCACATTAGGCCTTACTCTACAGTCATGGATCATTGGTTTATCGTGTGGAATAAGTTTACTAGTTATCGTTTATATCTTTCTATTTCTCGTTTGGTATGCCAATAAGAGGTAAGAGTTACGAAGAGCAAAAGAGATAAAATTCCACCTGTTTCATGTCCTTATCAGAGATTCGTAATTGCAGGTACGACTGGTACTGGCCATATAATCTGACAGTCGAACTCACCACTAAGTTGAATGCGCTAAAATTACTTTTACAAGTGATCTTCTGTCATCCACCGGGTAGTCAGTGTCACGACGGCATAGCAGTACAGCCGATAAAGTTTTACTTCACCGATCAAACTCGCGTGGGCACGACCGCTGCCGGTGAGAATGCGGTCGTGCAGATGGTCGGCTCGCTATACGATTCCATAGAGAATGATTTCGGTTCTCTGTCCACCAGGCTATATAGAGCATTTCGACCGAAACCCGATAAATCGACTACTACATGGAAATGGAGGCGTCTATGCTGCTTGCCGTATATAATTATATTCGAATTCTGCTTCTGCAGCTTGCTCGTCGGTATTTCGGTGCTTACGGTATATCTCATAGATATTTCGAGCGACGTGTGAGTAATAGTTATACGCCGAATATAAAGTTTTTTTATGTGATTGCTTGGTTTACACATGGTATTCTTTTCGCGTTTAGATCCAAGATAGAGCGAGTTACTGCTCACATTATTATGATAGCAATCGCCTTGGTCTTGGCCATCAGTATAATAGCGAATCTGTATACGTGGAGTAGAACATTGCAGGCGTTGGTTTTTTCACAAAGAAGACACCTTCAGCGTAGTATATCGAAATTGGAGACTCTCAAGAGCGAAGGATTCATTCAATCTTTGAGAAGTGAAGTCAATTTGATGACTGAAATGGTAAATTACTTGTCTATATTGAAATAATCGATTGCAAGTATCCTTTCAAAAGTTTTTAATCACAATTTTAAATAGGTCAAATGCTTGGATAGCTTCATGGCTCAACAAAGTAGGCTAGTTATAATAGTGGATGGTTTGGACAGTTGCGAACAAGATAAAGTTCTACTCGTTTTGGACGCTATACAGGCCTTATTTAGCGATAATGGATGTCCCTTCGTCGTAATATTAGCGATTGATCCACATATTATAGCTAAGGTAAACGAATCGAAAGAATTGTAATATATCAATTTCAAAATGTTGATTCAGTAATAACAAAAATTATTTGTTCGATATTATGCGCATAGGCAGTGGAAGTAAATAGCAGAAGACTATTCTCAGAATCGAATATTGGCGGTCACGATTATTTACGGAATATGGTGCATTTGCCATTTTATTTGCAAAACAGCGGCTTACGTAAAGTCAAGGTCGCGCAACAAACTGCTCAATACTGCAAGAAGACTGCATGGACGGAGGCCGAAGAGAGTGTCAACTATACTGCGACCAGTACGATGCATCATTCGGTATCTAACAGGAGACTTAGCACAGAATCGGCCATAATGAATAGCAACGAAAAACTGAAACCCCAAACTAGGAAGGGTAGTAGAAAATTGCGATTAAGTGAATCGATTGCTAGCAGTATTGGCAGCAATTTGAATCGTCTGGGCGGCGCGCAGGATCTCAATAAGATGTTGCTCACTGATGATTATTTTAGTGATGTAAATCCCCGTAGTATGAGAAGATTGATGAATGTTGTTTATGTCACTGGTAATATTGAATCGCATATCACAATGGAATATAATATTGAATCTACAGAATCGTTCTGTATGTGCAATATTCTTTTTCTATTTTAGGACGATTACTTAAAGCATTCCAGATTGATTTCAACTGGTATCATTTGGCTAGTTGGATCAACATTACTGAACAGTGGCCTTTCAGGACATCCTGGCTTATTCTTCATTACGACATGTATGAGGAAAGCTTGGATGACAACATGTCACTGAAAAGTCTTTATGATAAGTACGTAAATTTGATTTATTTTCTTATATATATATTATTTATTTTAATAAATTATTTTTTTATATATATTTGTCAGGGTACGACCGCAAATTCCGGTCCTAAAAGATGTACAGCCGCTTCTCGAGATGGACAGAGACGAGCGCAAGTTAGATGTCTTCCTCACTTTTCACCGATCTAGCTTACTCATTAGCGATATGAAAATATTCTTGCCTTTCACTATCAATCTAGACCCTTATATTAAGAAAAAGATAAAGGAAGAACAACAAAGTATAGAAGAAGACATGAATCAATTTTACAAACAAAATGGTGCTCGGCATGGTGCTATGGCTGATCAATGGGTTTCACAAAGAGGCATGTTGAATCGACATATGAAGCTTGCTAAACAATCAAGTTTACAAGGATCTGTGCCACCAACACCATCGTGGGCTTACCAGCCGAATTTTGAATGGCAAGCTCCGTCTTGGATACAAATACCTCCTACAGAACCAGTCGTAAAACAAATTTCTGCAACAACCATGTTACCGGTACATTATTATTAATTAATTATACAACTTTCTCATCTTACAACTCTCTCAACATGAGTGAAAACATGTGATTTATTGCTTTATCTTCATTTACAGCCTGAAATTCTGGAAATAAAATTGTCATCTTTATCAGTGAACGGAGTCTGCGACTTGATCGACAAAATCGAAAACCTTAATTACATTCAAGCTCCAATATATAAGCAAACCATCAAAGAGAATAATGTTACTGGACGAGTTTTATTGTACTGTGATTTGCAAGAATTGAAAAAGGTAATTTTTGGAATATTATGATCATCTTTATATCTCAAGGACGTTCTAAACATATTTGTATTCGTTTAGGTATTTAAGATGACTTTTGGAGATTGGGAATTATTCCGCATGGTAATTGTATCACTTCGAGAAATAGAATTGTCATCATTTTCATATGAAGAGGGTCCTCGAAGTGTCCGATTTACCGTAACCTCCGAACGCAAAGGTATGTCTGATATCTTTTCTCACTCGCTCGATCATTTGAGTAAATCGTCCTTTTATCCATTGTAGATCATACTCCAAATAATTCGATGCGTGTACCTGCTCATGTGGAAAAAGAAAAAGGAACATCGAGAACAGACGGGCCGACTCGTCGTGACCAGAATAAACAATCTATCATGGAAAAGCAGGTATGATATTATCAAACACATTAAAAAATACAATTACAAATAAATTGATATGACAACTTATAAAAATTACTTTCATTTATTTACATTCGCACTCTCATATCAGTTCCAGGTAAGTCTGCTATAATGCTTTGAGAAATATAATATTACGATATTTAATTTTATTTATGCACGTGCGATATATGGAGCGAATACTGCCTGTTGTAAATATGTTAAAATGCTTATACACGTTTTAGGTAACGTTAGAAGAGCAAATGATTTGTGGAGCACTGCAGACCTTGAACGAGGAAGCTTGCGAGGATGTATTAGATGTGCCATCGCCAGCAGTGGCACCAGCAACAGACTCACTTTCCTCAGGTGAGCCTACTTCCCTACCACTTACACTGCCTCTGGTAATAGTGCAAGAGCCACCGCAGCCAGACCAAAACAGTGACATCTCCGCCGAGTACAGTGCTAACTTTTAGTCGAATCTGAAAAAGAATGACTATAGGATGATGTATATATTCATCAAATAAATCGCTTATATTGCGTATGTCATAAAATAAAGACATTTTTCGGCGAAACTCTCATCGAGACATGCAAGGATTAAGCATCATTATCACTATATTCAAGAACGGTGCTTGCCAATTTGTGATGTTAAACGAAAGAAAAAGAAATTGAACGGACATACTTCATCCTATTTGATAATTTTATTTGTACATCTGTACGCCCGTAGAATATTATTTGACAGTATTATTGACAAGAGATGTACATATGTAATGGCAGTCGAAAAAAAACCAAATAATGGTTATATAAACATATTGTTACTGTAAGGCCGTTTGTAAGTTACAAAGTGAAAGTCTATTCTCTGAAAAAACATGTACAATTTTTTTTAAAGTACTCGTATGCCAATGCGAGAGATTATTCAGACATATCGAAAGATACAAAATGAAGGCCATTTAACGATAGTAATAGAACATTATTGTATGCGTATTCATAGGACTAGTGTAATATAATGCTCATTTTATAAGTTAATTTAATATCGATGTATATCAATGCCATATTGAAGAGAAGAAAAATAAGGATCGCGCTATGAAGACTCTTATATTGTGCGATGTTAAAATCGATTATTTTAACAAGAATTTTCGCTAGTCGGTAATGTACAAGCATACTTTATTGCATTTGTAAGCATAATATGATATGATAAAAAAAAAACCAATGTCAAAGGTATTACTCTCAAAGCTAATCTAATCATTCGATATTTTCTGTGACACTTCATGTACAAAAGACTGTGATAAATAATGCATTGTTGTTGATCAAATGAATATCCTTTGTGGCAAAATGTTTGTGCTAATCGCAACGAAGTACAACAATGTATTATATTTTTAAAATCGTTATATATGAAGTAATCGTACTTGGCGATAAAATTGAAAGTTGCGTCCTGTTACTCCGGTCCATACTATTTCCTGTACTTTCGTGTACTACAAACATTACTGCTAGACTGTTACTACTATGTTATGAGCAGTATTATGTTATTACCAGAGCATATGGCAATAAAATTTTCTTGCAAACCACATTTGACATTACCTTCTTTGCAGTTTGTATCTAGAAGGCGTCAGTTATCATTATCGATTACAGAGAGCGGCTTAGAAATTGAAAATCAGAATTAAAGAATTATAAAAAAGGAGAATTGGAGAATAAGTTTCTCTTTTCCATCAGTAATTTGACAGATTCCTATGTAAATTCTTTTTTTTTTTATCTTCATAGAAGGATTCATCCATTTCACGGATTTCAAAGTGGCTTTTAAGTGGCTTCATAAGAGACGTATATCATAATTGATTAGAATACGACAATTATATAGTACAAGATAGATTACATGAGCTTTTGTTTTAGGACCGGTTGCCATCTCGGTACATGATACAGAGTACGTGCTGCTTCAAGCCAGTCCGCTGTTTCACTGGGTGCCGGTTAACGATGATCCGATCAGCTCGGACGACAGCTCGCACGATTCCACCGTATTCCTTCAACGTACCAATTCTCAACGCAGCATCGCATCCCAACGTAGTACAAGATCCGCCTGTTCGCACAAGCCTCTAAAGAGGACCGATAGTAATGTCAGTACTAGGCCATCCTCGTTATTCGTCTCTCCGCCGCCATCGCCGAAGCCTGCCATCAGATCGAAGTCGACCGACGACAGATGTATGGGGAATAATATATCCCTGAAGATCACGTCGATACCTCTTCAGAAAAAACGTTCGTCTTCGACGAACAATGACGAGGTAGCGATACAAATGCCCACGTCCAGCCTGGAGAAATTGTCGAAGCTGAAAGATCGCCTAATCGGCACCGTGCCGACGGCGGGATCATCAGCAGCCGGTGGTGAAAGCGATGACGAGTCCACGCCGCTAGTGTCCGAGTTGTCCACACCAACACATTCCCAATCCGATAGCGTGTTCAAACACGACTGTAGCGCGGAAAACAGCAGCTCACCGTCATCCAACAGAAGTTTACCGCGGGATGGAGAACGTCATATAGATCTAGATTACTCCGATACCGTGAGCCTCATGATACGCGAGTCCTCGAACACTGAATCGCCATCTCGGCACGACACCGAAACGTGGGATGATACGGAAACGCCTGTCTAATACTTGTCTTCAATATATCTTCAATATATGAACTTTAACTCATAGTGCGTGAAGATGATGCGGCACCTGCTGAGCAGGTTTATGCGACATAATTATATTTTAACGAAGTCGAGATAAGATATCGGTTTCTGTGTGTAAATATTGCGGCATTTCTTTTAATAGCTAAAAGTGATAAATGTATTCATCTGCTCAGTAATATGACTGATATGATGAACAAATATTGCCTTCTCGCGTCAGTCGCGCGATAAATCCTTAGTTTAGCAAAACAAAACGATCTCGGGATATATGATGCCGAAGCGACATTCCGTGTAAATAATCAATGCATTTACGAATGCAAATATTTATTGACTAGTTTCCTTTTTATATTGAATTAATACTGAATTAGTATTGGAAGAGAAATGAAAAAACTTTCCCAGTATATAGTATCAATATTCTGATCCTAATAATCAATTTACGTCAATTCACAAATAGAGTAATTCGAGTAATAGTAAATGCTAAAGAGTATATTTTAAACAAAATCTTATTTAAATGACCAAGATACATGATTAGACTACATTACACTAACGAATTTATAGAATATACTTTTATTGAACATAAATATAAGACAAGTGTCACAAACATAACTTATACAAACGATAATTTTTATTTATATCAATTTATATCTACTTCTGAAAAGTTTTTATAAAAAATTTTATTAGAATATTACAGTAAGGAGAATTCAATTAGTTGAAATATATTTATTTTTAGTATTTGTTATATAGTATATTCTTTTTATTTGGTATTTTTTTTTATCAATTTATGATATATTTTTTAATAATCATAGAGAAACAAAAGCAACATATTAATAATATATTTGTTTTATTAAAAGGCAAAAATTGTAAATACATAACGTTGAATATTTAAGACACTTTAGGACGGAATACATCAGGGTATTGATAATTCATTACAATATCATATATATATGTGTATATATATGAATAATTGTAGATATATTAGATTTGAAAATATATAAACATCGCTCATTCTTTGACATTAAATACAATAAAACAATACATTGCTGGAGTAAATTCAATCGAATACATATATAGCAATAATATTAAATTATTATATACTAAATATATTTATAGACTTACAAAAAGGCAACATATAATTGATTTAAGGACAAATGCTTCCTCTCTATATTGTAAGGAATATTTGCTAATGCTAATTAAATACACTGATAATTTTGCTGTAATTAAATGCATTGTTTGTATCTATATGTTACGTAAAACTATTATATCAGTTTAAAATAGCAGCCATATCATTGTTACATGGGAATGCTAATCATACAGGTTGAAAATGGAACATTCTGTATATGCTTATATGTATATATATGTATATATATATATATATATATATATATATATATATATATATATATATAT